AACTAGTCAAAATGGCAGTGCGGACCTTAAAACGCAGTATAATAAAAGGTCTGCCCTCTGTTTTCAGATATCGTACTATTACAAGGCGAAAATTTTGAACAAGGTTTATTTTCGTAGCATACAAACTAGAGATAGGGCGGACCTTAAAACGCAGTATAATAAAAGGTCCGCCCTCTATATTTCAGATATCGTACTGTTAGAAGGCGAAAAATTTTGAACAGGGTATATTTTCGTAGCATAAAAACTAGAGAAAGAGGCAGGGAGGACCTTAAAACGCAGTATATTTAAAGGTCCGCCATCTATAATTCAGATGTCTTACTGTTAAAAAGAAAACATTTTGGACAAGGTTTATTTCCGTAACATAAAAACTAGTCAAAATGGCAGGGCGGACCTTAAAACGCAGTATAATAAAAGGTCTGCCCTCTGTTTTTCAGATATCATACTATTACAAGGCGAAAATTTTGAACAAGGTTTATTTTCGTAGCATACAAACTAGAGATAGGGCGGACCTTAAAACGCAGTATAATAAAAGGTCCGCCCTCTATATTTCAGATATCTTACCATTACAAGGCCAAAATTTTGAACAGGGTTTATTTTCGTAGCATAAAAATTAGAGAAAGAGACAGGGCGGACCTTAAAACGCAATATAATAAAAGGTCCACCCTCTATATTTCAGATATCTTACTATTACAAGGCGAAAACTTTGAACGGGGTTTATTTTCGTTGCATACAAACTAGAGAAAGAGACAGGGCGGACCTTAAAACGCAGTTTAATAAAAGGTCCGCCCTCTATATTTCAGATATCTTACTATTACAAGGCGAAAATTTTGAACAGGGTTTATTTTCGTAGCATAAAAACTAGAGAAAGAAGCAGGGCGGACCTTAAAACGCAGTATATTTAAAGGTCCGCCATCTATAATTCAGATGTCTTACTGTTAGAAAGAAAACATTTTGGACAAAGTTTATTTCCGTAACATAAAAACTAGTCATAATGGCAGGGCGGACCTTAAAACGCAGTATAATAAAAGGTCTGCCCTCTGTTTTTCAGATATCGTACTATTACAAGGCGAAAATTTTGAACAAGGTTTATTTTCGTAGCATACAAACTAGAGATAGGGCGGACCTTAAAACGCAGTATAATAAAAGGTCCGCCCTCTATATTTCAGATATCTTACCATTACAAGGCCAAAATTTTGAACAGGGTTTATTTTCGTAGCATAAAAATTAGAGAAAGAGACAGGGCGGACCTTAAAACGCAATATAATAAAAGGTCCACCCTCTATATTTCAGATATCTTACTATTACAAGGCGAAAACTTTGAACGGGGTTTATTTTCGTTGCATACAAACTAGAGAAAGAGACAGGGCGGACCTTAAAACGCAGTTTAATAAAAGGTCCGCCCTCTATATTTCAGATATCTTACTATTACAAGGCGAAAATTTTGAACAGGGTTTATTTTCGTAGCATAAAAACTAGAGAAAGAAGCAGGGCGGACCTTAAAACGCAGTATATTTAAAGGTCCGCCATCTATAATTCAGATGTCTTACTGTTAGAAAGAAAACATTTTGGACAAAGTTTATTTCCGTAACATAAAAGCTAGTCAAAATGGCAGGGCGGACCTTAAAACGCAGTATAATAAAAGGTCTGCCCTCTGTTTTTCAGATATCGTACTATTACAAGGCGAAAATTTTGAACAAGGTTTATTTTCGTAGCATAAAAATTAGAGAAAGATGCAGGGCGGACCTTAAAACGCAGTATAATAAAAGGTCAGCCCTCTATATTTCAGATATCTTACTATTACAAGGCGAAAATTTTGAACAGGGTTTATTTTCGTAGCATACAAACTAGAGAACGAGGCAGGGAGGACCTTAAAACGCAGTATAATAAAAGGTCCGCCCTCTGTATTTCAGATATCTTACTATTAGAAGGCGAATATTTTGAACAGAGTTTATTAAAAGTTATCGTAGCGTTAAAAAAAAAAAAAACTCGTTAAAATGGCAGGGCGGACCTTAAAACGCAGTATAATAAAAGGTCCGCCCTCTGTTTTTCTTTTTTCCCACATACATGTATCTCACTTAAAAAGCAAAAATTATGGAAATGCTGTAAGTTCCTATTGTTTTTATTTTCTTTGTTGGTTCGTGTGTTTTTCCAGGGTAAAAAGATAATTAGGTTTTTAATTTTAGGATGGACGCTAAATTAACTTAGAAAACTATTGGAATGGCCTAACTGTGCATAAGAATTGCATATATACTACATGTAGTAGTGTACTTTTTTTCATTTAATATGCTGACAAAAAGACAAAACTTTAATGTCAATTAATTATCCACTCTGTGTACGTTTGCAGGAGATGTGTCTACTGTATTGTATATCTACATGTATATGCAACCATAAATACCTGTCTGAGGGGACCAAGGATATATATTATTATTTGATTAGTAATGTTGATGACGTTCAACAAGAGAACTATAATCCCCCCCCCCCATCACACACACATAAATAAAAAAGAAATAGCCGCTTAAAGTCGTAGAAAATCTAATTTAAACCAAAATCAAAATAAATATAAAAATATTGACAAAAGAACACGACTTGGTGGTGTATTATGAATTTTTATATCAGTCACGATCTCAACAGACACTTTCCTTTTTATTTTAGGGGGAAATGCATGTCAAGTTGCTCTGTAAAACCCCTCTGTAAATAGTATGGGTGGATAAGATTCTCCCTAGTAAGAAGGTGGAAAAGGAGAAAATTCTGTACTGAAGCGTACTGAGTATTTCCTATGGTGGATAATAAAGCCGGGGTTGTTTCTTCCAAGCTCGCTGCATGTCATTTCCGAAATTTTGCATTGCATTTCCGACATTTTTTGTTTTCATTTTACAATACAATCAACACTAAGTCTAGTAAAGATACAAAGTTTAGTAATAAAATGCAATAATTTCAATAATAAAACATGCAATTTTTGATCACCAAATTTTAATGCCCACTGAATTATGTGTTTGAAAGCACCGAAAAACAGAATCTCCTCAACTTTGATTACTTTATTCCGTCAAACATAGTTTCTGTTTGTCATAAATTCTATCTAAACCTTTCTGATCTCAAATTCAGTCTGATTATCTTGATTTGAAAAGATGAACAAAAATTCACAACTTACACTTACATGTGTCCGAGGATAAAATCGTCATAAGATTCTTTTAAATATAAGAAGAACTTTTTATTTGGAAATCAATGAATTATTCTTGATTTATTCTTTATTTTTTTTATAAGGGAAATTTCAATTTTGTTTTCATTGCCGGAAAAGTACTTTATGATGATAAATGTCAGAGATGAAAATTTTAAAACGTCAGAAATGAAAACTACAAAATGTAGGGAATGAAATAAACAATATTTTAAAAAAAAATTCCGGAAATAAAATCCTATGCTAGGCTCATTTTCCAAAATGGGAGGGGTCTTTAAACCCAAGCTCGTTTTTCCGGGAACAAATATTAATGCGGGAGGAAAGTCTACAACATCAGTACTTTTTAAAATATTTGACATGTATCAGCATAATTTTGCTATACCCCACCCACCAAAAATACAACAACACCATTTATAATCTTTTCCTTTTTTGGGGGAGGGGGTGTTTTATTGCTTAAAATGTTCAACTCGATTGACTTTGGTTTGATTTTGCCAATTAATGCACATCTTCCTTAACCAGTGTTAACCCCGGGGTAATATCAAGTAGAATGAAATAATCGTTAGTCTTTAACTGGATAAGAAACGATGGTTATAAAAACACGGGGGATATGCGACTTCAAGTTTCGTCAGGTGAGACAATTGGCCTACCCCCCAAAGCACAGACATGTTGTTTAACAACAACGGGATAGGCTAGTACACCGTAACACAAGTCCCTGTCAAAGTGACCCTCCAATTATTTTATAATTAGGTACAATATGAATCGTAAGAAATTATGCATAATTATTATTAATGATATAATGAAATATCTTTCGAAAGATATGAAAATTCTTTTTGGGATGTGGAAGTCGAACGTTGTTAGGAAAGAGACTGTAATGAATTGATCATTGTTGGACTTACGAACACCATATACTGAACAATGTGCCAGTGAAGGTATGCGTATTATATATATATGTATTTTTTTTTTATTTTGCAATGATAATATTGATATCACTTAAACTATAAAAGACACATGTCGTACATGATTTTCCCATAAGGTAACTCGATCAACAGATCTTTGCATCTTTATATTTTTTGTTTTGTGCACTACCTGGGAGGTATGTACTACGATAAGGAGCTAACAGTTAATCAGTGCTAACATCAAATTTTGAATAATTTTTTGATAGATAATTTGAGGTTTTGTACTGAGATATATCATAGTATTAGAAATATAATTAATTAAAATTGGCTAACGAAATCCAGCAACTAGCGAGATATCGCAAGACTTGATCCTTTTAGTATATATACAATGTACATACATGTACGTCCCTGGAACTCCATTTTGCTGGGAAGGACACTTTTATAACAACTATACCTTAAATGATTTAAAAAGATTAATAAAGCAAATTAATTTCGAATCAATAAAGGAGAAAAATCTGCATATTAAACCGAAGGCGGACCTTTTATTATAGAGGCAGGCCGGACCTTATATGTTATCGTATTAGGTCCCCCCCGGACCTTTAAACGAGGCGGACCAAATATTATGCGACACCGGTCGACAGGGGATGCTTACTCTTCATGGCACCTGATCCCGCCTTTGATGTTTTTGAAGGACCCTGTTTGCTCTGCTCCAGATTTGCATTGTTTAAATGGACTATTAGCTTCAATATTGTTCGTTATCTCCATATTTCATTGAATGCTCTGTGGCAAATAACCCACTGGGGCTAGAAATTGAAAAAATATTTAAAAGTTATTGAACAGACAGAACGGGAAGGATAACAGTTACACTTCAATCATCAAAACTCACCATAGCCTTTGTCTCAGGCTGGTTAGAAAAAAGGAAAATATATTACCCTGTATTGGATCTCCGTCTGTGGGATTGTCTGAAACATCCATAAACTGGATTTGGAACGTGACGTCACTCAGACCCCAGACAAAAACTGTGTACGTCTGCTCGCCCGAGCACACCACTGTCCACTCACCTGTATTATCAGAAGGCATGAAATAAAAGTTTCATAGAAACTGAAATTCTTTATATTATTGGTGAAGTTGATAGTTCTACTTCATATCTTCATTTTTTTTAATAATCATTTACTGTTTATTTATCTTTTATTTTTAGAACATAGTATCTCTATTACCTACATTTGGAGTTCTTTCGGAAGCCCGCTTTTTGATCCCACTTGACTCATTGTCATCCGTTGCCAAGAGGATAGAATCTGAGGACAAACATTAAAACTCACATGGCACGAAAACTTTTTCTTTTCTGATCTACGGAGCAATATTTTTTAAAGTTATTTACAACAAATATCGCACACGAATTGTAAAAAAAAAACAAAAACAAAAAACAAAAAAAAAAAACGCTACCATGTAAAAATGTATATGTGACATATGGTATGAAATGCAAATATATGTTTAAAAAAATGAATGATAACGATAATCAAATATCCTTAAATTTCATTATTTTACATATAAAGTTTTTTTTCAATTAAAATTTTCTACAGTATTTCGAATTTTTGTACTTCGCTGCTTGGCGTATTACGTAATTAAGAATATAAAATGCAGCTTAATTAGAGAAACAACTTTGTTATGAAGGTATTTAAATTAATTTACTAGATCCAGGGTCAATGTAATTTATTTGTTTGGTATATTGTGATATATTTGACATCTTAATTTACAGCAAATTACAATTTTAATAAGAACCTCAAATCTTGACCCCCTTAAAACAAATCTAGATTGAACTCATTACTATTCAAGTTTTATAATGTAGTCATTATTCTGCATGCGTGATTTTAGATTCATGGATCTTATGTTTTTGCTATGTTTTTGAAGTTTTGATATCAATTCAAATCATTCTTCTTCTTATATCGAAAATACCTCAACAATACTCCAGACTTATGTCACAAGATTTATATTCTTCAAACAAAAGAATTCAGGGAATAATTAAATCATAATGTGATACCCTTTCTTTCAAAGCTGCGAAAATAAAATCTAGTCCAAAAAATTGCAAGAAATTGAATATTTTAGGCGGATTTGATTTGCACTACCGTTTGGATCCTTTAGTGTACAATTCTGCTCACGCCTGACATTCTCTATTTCTACAACAACATAGGACACGGTGGAATCTATTATAAACCGAAGGTCCGATTCATCGTCACGTGCCTGGAGAACCTCAATCAGAACTAGATCCGTCTGTAGATAATTTGAAAAAGAGAAAAAGGACATATCGTATTATTAAGATAAACATTCGCTAACAGTGAAATGCAGTTCTGGATAAACAAGCTTATTCACGAAATCGGTGTCCCCCGCTTAAGGAAAAGAGAAAAAGAATATAGAAGGCCTGAAAATATGCAGATTAAGAAAGAAAAACTTTTCAACTTTTGGCCCTAAAGTCGATAGGGATCTTTTTAAGGTGAAGAAATGCATGACCCTTAACAGTCATTGCAAAAGCTTACAGAGAACTAATATTATCATCTGAAAACTACGGATGCAATATATGAATTTCTGACTTTGGTCTTTTACCTTTTGACCTCAAAATCAATAGGGGTCTTTTTAAGACATATTGAATGAAAGTATAAAATTTCATTGCAAAACCTCTTAGAAAAATAAAGTTATGACCATTTAACAATTTTATGCAAGATATGACCCTGACCTTTTTGACCTCAAAATCAAATTAAGGATCTTCTTTAAATCATTGGGCATTATGATATAAGATTTCATTGAAAAAAAAAAGCTCAAGGAAAACTAGTTATCATCCTGAAACCATTTTTGCAATGTATGAATTTCCAAACTTGACCTTTTGACCTCAAAATTGATAAGGTCTTTTTTAAGAAAATGGAAAATTAAAATACTATAGACTATACAAAAAATTTTATTTTATGCATATATAGAAGACAGAAAATACATATCATTCTACAAAATATTTTTAAACAAAATGCTGCATCATTTACACAAGGAAAACATCAGAGGTTATACAATTTCAGGGCAATAGAATTTTGTAACTTAATTGACTGTTCTTTAATTGTGACAATAAAACATTACGAAATTCCATGTAATTAACACTATTCTTAATACAGTATTTCTCTTCTTTTTCTTCTGCATGCGCGGATCTAGATTGGGGATGGGGGATCCCCCCCCCCCCTCGAAATTCGCCGAGTTATTAAATGTGAAGTAACCAAAAAATTGGTTTGGTTTGAACATATTTTATTGTATAAATAATATACAAATGGTTTGAACCAAAAAATTACCTTGAACCCCCTAGAAAATACAAACACCCCTCTTAAATTGGTAGGAGGAGTCATACATATGAAACTTAATTACGAAGTGAAGGATAGCGCCCCCCCCCCCCCCAAACAAACTAGCTTTTTAACGTTCGAAAGCAGTTTACATTCTTGACAACACATTTTTTGGAGTGGGGTGCCCCCCCCCTTTTGGAAAAAAAATCATTGATCCGCGCCTGTTTTGAGATAAAATTGATGAATTTACACAATGTATATTTGTCCAATAGAGATATGATTTTCTATTCATACCGTTCATTTGTGACGCGTGTGTTATGAGAGAGAGAGAGATTAATTACCTGTCTTTGTAGTCTAGCAACTGACTGAAGTTTGTCAGTGGAGAAAACTCTTGGTAAAATACACTGAAAAAGAACTAGTACAATAAAGCTAAAATAATATCCCATGATGGCTCATCCATGTTATATTCATAGTTTATAGTTTAACATGTTTAAAAAGCCCCTTATCTTTAAAGTTTATCTAACCGATAATGTAACCGATATGAACTCAATCACAGGTATCGAAATTTCTAATATGTTGATAATTATATTATAGCCGTCAAAAAAATAAGATAATAAAATACACTTTATCTCCAGATATAACTGAATAAATCATTCAACAAAGTCCCTGATCAAACGAATTTATTTATTGAATTTTTTCTAAAAAAATTATTAAAGAAACTTGAGGGAATTAAATGGGCCCATTGTGTAGATTTCTTCAAGACTCTTTTTAAAAAGCAATTTTATTTCTATGTTATAGGAATTGCTTTCTGCATTATCAGAATCGGGGAAATGTCTCCCATTCTCTATAAAGCGCTCAGATGATCAAGATTTTCTCACCTGTAATCGGTATCGGTAAGACGCTTAATGGCGCACCTGTAAAGTATGTAGCCAAAATATTTCAAATTTTAAAAACTTTACTGGAAAAATACAGAAGGTTATCCCTTGTGAATATATATTTATTGTCGAAGAGATTGGACATCAGCAAACTAAGTGATACCTTTGTATACAGGTAGATTAATTACTGAAAGATTACCTGAACAAAAAACGTCAACAAAAACAAAAAGCCAGAAAATAAACTTTTAAAATGGGACGCCCAGAAGAAGACTATGAAGTTTCACTGCTAACGAAGATTGGAACAATAGTTTTAATTGTAACAACTTTGTTTCAGCTGATAGGTATGAACACGCTATTGTTGTTTTCATTTTATTATAAAGCATCCAAATGCGGAAGTGAGTCTATACCCGTCTATAACGACATCAGTAAAATATACAGTTATTAAAATGAGAAAACTAATTCAATAAATTTCATCACAAAAGAATACTGAGAACAATTTTGATGAGAGTTTACGATCATGATGCTATTTCGATTATCAGGGGAAAAAAATAAATCTGAACATTAAAATATTTTTATTGCAGAAGGTATGATTATACATTTTCCCCCCTACTTCAAGTAGTTAAAAAAGTTACTATTCAGAAAAAAAATTAAAGACTCAAATCAAGTGGGAAAAAAATCTTGAGTGTGCATACATCGACACTCAGCTTACAAGAAGAAGGAATGATTGTCCGATTTTTCATTAAACTCCCAGAACTATTTTTATAGGGTTTGCCTCCTCACACTGGGTGATATCTGTAAGTGCAGAATACGGCATTATTGAGTACTCGGGACTATGGGAGAAATGTGCAGACTTGTCCATTGGCTACCATGACTATGAGTGTGCTGGATTTGTCTGGGAGGATTTCCAGGTGTCACGTGAGTGTTAATTTCTTTTTCTGTTGGAAGTCAATCGATTTTACTTTGATTTTGTAAGCCAATTTTATATTATGTGTGTTAGTAAATTCATTAAATTTCTTTTACAATAATCCACAGATGAGATATTTTTACTGTATCTCTTTTGGGGTACTATTAAATCAATTTTTTGAAAAGAAAGTCATACTTTAATACAAGTTATCCTCATAATGAAGAAAAGTATTGAAAATTCAAGATAAACACAACTTTTCAGAATATGTAGTGAATGTTCACTGTAATTAATATAATTTCACTAGAATTTCAAAATTTTTAGTTTTTTTTCAAAAACAGTCAAGTAAGTCATCTTCAGAGAAATAGTTAAACTGCACGGTGTGAAACAATTTCGATATTGTGTTTCAGATTGGTTCCGTACGATTCAGACTATGGAGGCTATGGGATTCGTAGGCCTGCTGACCACCGTTGTTTTGATTGGAGCATACATGTTTAGAACCCCACTCCAGGGGAAGAAGGGGGTCAAAAGACTTTTGGTCACCCTCTGTATCTTGTGTGGTCAGTATATCATTCCTCTGTAGAAATAATCAGCAACTGACTTGAACGATACAAACTTTTTTCCCTTAAGTTTACACAGTATGATCAAAAGGAAAAAATTTAATACAGTTGAAATTCAGTATCTCAAACAGTGATCTTTTGAATACCATGGATATGTTGTAGTGGTTTGGAAGTCCCAACCTCTTATTCTTTAACTATTTTACCCTTGATATCTCGAATCCTCGGATATCTCGAATTTTTTTCTCGGTCCCATCGAGTTCAAGATAACGAGGTTTGACTGCAGTATATGTTTTAATTTAAATCATGTGTCAATGAACACCAAGAAAATTGAATACAGTTTATAGATACATTTCACTGTTTTACAGATTTTATTGATCATTTTGATTGAAAATCAACTATAAACTTTCTAACCCCACCTTTTACTTCCCACAGGGATTCTGATCCTGGTTTCCTGTATTGTATTTGCATCCCTGAAGAACACCCTCCGAGCTCGACACATGCCTGGATCTACAGCGGAGCTCTCCTGGAGTTTCTACTTCAGTCTCGTTGGTGGTCTTGGATCCATTGCAACTTCCTTCCTCATCTGCTTTGGATAAATGCCATCATTTAAGCATCAAAGCTGCTAGCCTTTATCATCATAGACTCAATTTAAATCCATGGAATCATGTATTCAGTGACTGTTTTTTTTTTTTAATATTGGTTTAATACAAACTGCTTTGGTATTTATACATTTATTCATCTTAAACAACTGTATAAACAGGAGTAAACTCAAAGTATAATTACATGTATGTAATAATGTAGTTGCATGATCTTAATGTATCTCTTCATTCATTACTTCATTGTATAAACCACTTCTTCATCTTTTTTTATGTTCACTCAATGCATGATGCCAAAGGCAATGTTCATTACTCAGTGAATCATTACCAAGAATATTGAAAAATTACACTTTTGTCTGGATTTCTACAAAATAATTACTTTTAAAAATCTCATTGTCATGGTTATTAATTTTCATAACATGCATATCTTAAACAACTAGAGAGGAATCATTACCAAAGCATACATGTTTTGTGTAAAATTATTTATTACAATCCAGTGTACAGAATGATTACTGAGCATAGTATATAATTTTTTCCTGTATATATATATATATATATACATCTGACACAGTATCACTGCTGAATTTGTACACAAGGGATATTCTGGGATACTTATTTTATTTGTATAAATGTAATGAAAGAAATAAATTTTGTACTTCAGTTCTCTCTTTTAATTTTGTGATCCCTTGTCATCTGCTGCCTATGCAGTAACAATGTAATAAGTAAAAGTATAAGAAAATTTATTTTCTGTACACAAGACTGATGTAGGAAAGATTGAGACCTTCCATATTGATAGAACAAAGGATTACATCACAGAGTATTTGCACTTTATTTCTCAACATAAAAATATTAATGTACAGGTACAATGCTTTCAATCTTTTTAATCTATCTTTCATATACAAACATTATTTCATATTATACTGAAAAACATTATTTCATATTATACTGAAAAACATTATTCATATTATACTGAAAAGAAATCTGAACAAATTTATCTTCTTTATTTTGACCACTTTGATATTCAAAAACAACTTTTCAAATAAGCATGTATAAAAAAAAAAACCCCACTATATTGCTTCAATTACTTTGGGAACTAAACAAGACGAGAATGTGTTAACTACATTAAGTACATGGATCTGTAATTTTTTGTTCAAAAATAATAGCCACTTATTGATTAAATGCCCTAATTATGATTTAAAGAGTCAAAACAATGAACCACTGTAATAACAAATCAAAGAAAGCATGTTCCGCATTAAATTTCACTCAGATTTATCTTCATAAAGAAACAGCCTCAATGACTGAATGCTCTTTGAACACAATACAATGGTAGTCTCTCAATATACTTCAGTGTCTTGTCATAAGATCTCACAATCACTCATCCTCTGGTTTACTAGTGATGACCTCATCATCCTCTTCCTGCAAGGAAAAACATAAACTCAGTAATTATACTCCCTTTCAAGTTTCCATCCCCTATTGTGGCCCAACCCTATCCCCCAAGGACCATGATTTCATAACAGAAGGCCAATGGGCCATAATGCTCACCTGAGTCACTTTGGCACTACTGTCCAGCCCAGTGGTTCATGAGAAGATTTTTTCTATGTATTTCAATGTAAAACTTTGATTCTCTACTGTGGTCCCACCCTTCCCCCGCCATGATTTGAACAAATTAGAATCTTCACTACCTTAGAAAGCTTCCACATAAGTCTCACCTTTTCTGGTCCAGTGGTTTTTGAGAAGATTTTTTAATGACTCCACCCTAATTTTGTCTTTTCTTGATTAACTCCCCTTGAAAGGGAGCCTGGCCCTTCATTTTGAGAATTTAAACTCCCCTTCACCCAAGGATGCTTTGTACCAACTTTGCTTAAAATTGGCCAAGTGGTTCTTAAAAAGAAGTTGAAAATGTGAAAAGTTTACAGACGGATGGACAGACAGACAACAGATAATCCAAAAAAGCTCAGGTGAGTTAAAAATTGTTCTGCACCACCTGAGGATGCTTGCATATCAACACGACTGATCAAGACCCTGCTGTTCATGAGGAAATGATTTTTATATTTTTTTTTCTGTATCTTTCCATACAAAATTTTGATTTCTTTTTGTGACCTTACCTTCCCCCTTTCCCCAAGAGCCATGATTTGAACAAATTAGTTCTGCACCACCTGAAGGAGCCATGATTTGAACAAACTGGTTCTGCACTACCTGACAATGCCTGTACATCAATAGGTTTAATCGAGGCTCTGCTGCTCTTGAGAAGATTTCTAAAGATTTTTTTTCCTATATGATAAACTAATACCCTATTTGGGCCCCAGCCTACCCCCAGGGACCATGGTTTAAACAAACTTGAACCTGCATTACCTGAGGATGCTTGCATGTTAATAGGACTTGTTATATTAGAGATTTTTTGTAAGTATTCCCAAAACTTTGATCCCCAAATGTATCCATGCATTATCCCAGAGGGTAGTGATTTGAACAAACTTCAACCTACATAATTAAGTCAGGAAGCTTTCATATAAATTTCTTCTTTTTTGACCCAGTTGTTCTTGATGAGGAAGATTTTTAAAAGATGCCAAAAAAATTTCGTGAATTTTTATTTATGTCCCTTTGAAAGAGGGCATGGATCTTCATTTGAAAAACTTGAATCTCCTTTACCCAAGAATGCTCTCTGACAAGTTTGGTTGAAATTGGATCAGTGGTTTTGAGAAGAAGTAAAAAAAGTGAAAAGTTTATGACAACAACAATGCACCAATGGCAAAGAAGACAACAACGACTGATATTGGACACAATTTGATCAGAAAAACTAACTTGAGCCTTCAGCTCAGGTGAGCTAACAAGTACATGTACTACACTGTAATAGTCACATTTCTTGCTGAAAATTTTTCAGTATGTACATTGTACTTACTGAGCTGTTTGAGGGGTCACATGCTTCACAGTGCCAGGAATAACCTCTCTGTTTGGGGGTCTTCTTCATGGGTGGATCCAAACATCCAAAGTGGTAACACAATTTACATTCATCACACCTACAAACAAAAATTAATAAATTTAATATCTTTTGTCATTGGATAGTACCTGAAATGTCAACTGTCAACTTTCAATTTGTTTTCTTTTAAATTGAAACAACATCTTCATCCGTAATAGTTTCTTTCTCTATTCACTGAATTTACGGATTTTAGCTTTAAATATTTGTATGTACTTTCAGATAACAAGCTGCAACTATGTTAAACATTTACAAATAAACCTTGTTATCTCAAATTCAATGGGACCAAGAAAAAACTTCGAGATATCCGAGGATTCAAGATATCCAGGGTAAAATACTTAAAGAATAAGGGGTTGAGACTTCAAAATAACTTTGACATATCCATGGTATTCCAGATATGGGTGTTTGAGATATCGAAGTTCAACTGTATGATTATTTTCAATGGGAGACTTACTTGACCATGCCTGAGCTATCCCCAGGCTTACTACACACAGCACAGGTCATGCCCTCTGGAATCTCATCCACTTTGGCTTTCTTATTTGCTGACCCCAGAGACTGTCTTGGCTTCTTTGGCTGAAAATAAAGGATATTCTTCAAATATATATTTCAAATCTTGCTTCTTTCTTAAATACATTAAATGTCAGATCTAGGATATTTATCAGACATAACACCACGAAGGTTCCTCCAGTGTCCTTATTAATGTTGTGATTTACAACCTTGGAATCTTCGTCATTTTCCTCTCCTTGTTTTCCTGGTTTCTTCTTTTTCTTCCTTTTCTTTGCCTTCATATTGTACCTTGTCAACTGAAAATGCATATCAGATGCCATATTTATCAATTTACAAACGTTAAGCCTTAGTGTGTTTCATTTCATTTAGGCCTTCAATTAATCTTCCTGCAAATTATCTTTCTTTACATAACAGGTTCATCTTACCAAGTTTATTTTCTGTATAAATTTATACATGAGAAACATTAAGCTTCAATATGAGATTGTTATTCATATTTGACATATGTTACTACCTTCTCAAATTCAAATTTGAACTTCATATCAGGTGACCACTTTGTGGGCTCCTTGATCTTTTCGCGGAGTTTGCGAGGGGCATCTAGATCTTTGGTCTCCACTTCTGACTCGCCGCTGCTGGATTTCGTACATTCTGAACACTGCCTATCAATGTAATACATAACCAGTGTCAAATGGTACATATAAATTATCAGCACTGTACAACCTGACTTATACATGAACACTGCCTATCAATGTTATACAGTATCAAATGGTACGTACAAACTATCGGGACAGTACAACCAGACTTATACATGCCAAATAGAGAGGAACAGAATGAAACTCCATTTTTGATATCGTTCATAACACAACAAAATGTTAGAAGTTCCATACTGAATATAAAAGGACTCTATTTCATCTTTTGCAGGTTTGCTATTTTGATGTTCTTAAGCTTCACCTTAACATTATCAAAAGCATCTATACTTACCAGCCCATGATTTTGGTTTTCTTTGGCATACGTGTGAGTGGTGGATCCAAACATCCGAGGTGGTAGTACTCTTTGCAGCTATCACAGTGGGCCAGAAAATGCTGGTTGTTTGTTTTATGGCACAACGCACATCTATACAAAATGTCAAAAGTCTATACAAAATGTCAAAAATCAATACAAAATGTCAAAAGTCCCATCTATACAAAATGTCAAAAGTCCAATCTATAAAAAATGTCAAAAGTCCTAACTATAAAAAATGCAGAAGTCAAAAACTTTGTTCATTAAGATTTTCACTTGAAACAAACTAAAGATCTTCAATTATACATGAATTAATAATTCTGGCAAACAGAAGTTATTATCCAACTAAACCAAAATTCAGAGATTCAATAAAATCAATAAGCTAACTTGTATACTTTATTATGACCTACACATACATGTAAATATCCACAAGTCATGATAAAATGTTTTTATCTGCTGTATGAAAGTTAGAAAAAAAATTTAAATCAGAGCTCTTTAAACCATAAGAAAACATCAGTTTATCAAGAACAGTTTCAGACATAGCCCATTAAATGGGACACATTTTATGATGTCTATGGTGTCTACTTACTGGTGTATGACAGCTGGTGTTACACTGTTCTTACGACTGATCACTCGAGAAGGGGACGGCTTACGAACTCTAAAATCTTCTGGGATAGGAAATTTCTGTTTACAAAGAAATTCAAATTTAATTACTGAATTTTTCGTTTATTTCACACATTCTCCTATTGTTACTGGTACATTATATAACACCCTGTCTATATTCATAGGTTAGGGAGCAGAAAAATGTCAGATATTTTGGAGGCCATGGACAACATATTTTAAAAGAAGTCTTTTTCAATCACGCGGACTCACATTTTAAACTCTGTAGGAGTAAAAAATGAAAAACAAAAGAGAAATGGGAGTCTCTACTCACCTTGTCTGATAAGTCATTCAACAGGTTCCATAACTTCTCCCCCGTTTTTCTTTTTTCGTTGGCACAGTGTCTCAAACCCTCCACATCAGAATACAACTGCAGACCAGAATTCACAATACCGGGTAATATTACAGATCTACATCTATCATGACACATACTGCTATTGTATAATTTTGTATGAACAAAAATCAAATTCTACTACTTTTGTACAGGATAGTTATTTAAGAATAAAATGGCAAAAATTTAAAATAAACAAGTTCAGTTCCTTTTACCAAAATCCCCCCCCCCCCCCCCCAAAAAAAATATGATTACAATTCCAGAGCAAAGAGTTATGAACATTTAACATACATTTCCCATTTTTTCTAACACTGTATTGGATGAGCTCTGTGTTACTGTAATACCTGATCGTACTTTCTGCGTAGAATTTTTTCCTGTTCCTGAAGTTTTTCATTTTGTGACACGATATCCTTCATACAAGTCTTCATGTTCTCTATCTTTGTGTTCCTCTCTATTTTCAGTGAAAAAAAAATCATATTACACAAACAGCTAAAAGAGTTATTCCCCCAGTACCAATTCTCCTCTTAATGAACATGAACTATACAGATCAGTAGTAAATGATAGAAAATTTTCTTTGCAATCAGTCATATGAGAATACATGTTCCATTTCATGAAGAAACTTCCATGAAAATATATGCAAAACATAAAGAAATATGTGAACTTCCAACCTAAGAAATGGGTGATGAACTCCACAGAGAAAGAGGGCACCATAAAGGATTTCTTCCTTATTTCTTGTTTCTCATGGGTAATATGCTGGGACTGGAATACAATAGTATGACAGTGACTGATGGTACAATTATATCTACATGTACAGGTAGGTAACTACTGTATATATTAATTCACAATGAATTACAAGCCCTACAACATACATGTATGTGATAAAAGTATTGTTATAATTCCTACAACTCTTTTCAATAAGATCTATTACAGATTTAACAGAAGATTTACACAGGTTCTAATTCTGACATTATAACCTGCATTATAAAGTTGATAGTAGATTTAACTGTGTTACAATGTTCATGGTGGATTTACCTGTGTTATGATGCCCATAAGTTCTGCTTTTCTTAACATTTTCTTTACAGCAGCAGGACTTGATGTCAAATGTCTAACAAGTTTCTGTGTAGGCACTGAAAAAAAATGTAAAAAAAAAAAAAAAAAAAAACACAACAAAATTAATTCAATAATTTATTATGTTTCAGTAATCTGGAAACTTTATAAATCTGAACTATTTGCTTGGGAACTAGGGATGTCAAATCGGTCAATTTTTGATAATCGGTTACTCGGATGTTTTTCCGATCGAGTACCCGGGTACTCGGTAAAAATGAAAATACAAGACAGTGTATTAATTTTCTTGAGCCCGGTTAAGCTCTGTTAAATCCCAAAGCTGTTTTATCATGTTTATAAATGTATATAAACAACTGAGTGAAAGGGAAATGATTTTTGGGTACCAAATTTATTTATCAAATAAACTCAAAAGACACAATTAATACATAAAAAAAAGGTTTACATTTCTTGTTTAGGATCTATTTCATCAACGCAAAAGGACAATCTGTTATGCAGTTTTGTGATGTTAGACAAACGAAAGAGAAGGAAAAGACGTTGTTGGGATCGCTAATCTAATATTATTTCATAATTTGGTTGTTTCCCACTAAACCTACTACGCAAACTGACTTTCAATTTTTTTAAAATCTTTAAGTTATTTCTAAATATTTCTTCACTTTTGAAGTGGGTAGCGGTATTTCTATGCATGTCCGATTTCGCTACCGTATATTAATTAAATAATTTAAAAACGATTTGAATATAATAGACCATACTTAAACGAGGTTTACTGAAAACAATCATTGAAGCCATCCAAAACTTAAGGACCACAATAGGTGTCATTAGATGAGAAAAGCTGTGTACCAGATGATTGGTCATTAATTATTGTATATACACAGCCACAGGCGATAATGGGTGTTTTACAGGTGTAGATGACGACACGCTAATTACCGTATGAATATTTAATAATTTTTTGATAAGTTTTTGATAAAAATATGTACTTTCAAATAAGAAAAAAAAATATATTTCCGAGTAACCGAGTACCATTTTTAGTATTCTATACTCGGACGTTCGATCGAGTACCCGGTTAACCGGGTACTCGTTGACATCCCTATTGGGAACACAAGGGTCCAGATTACTCATTGTACACATTTCCACACTTGAGTAACTTACCCCATGAGGGTGGTCTTTTTAGTTTTGCATTCTGATATTTTGCCTGGTGTCGCCTCAACTTTCTTTCAAATCTAGTCTAAAACAAGCAAAAGTAAACCACTATATAAAACAGATTTCACAAAATAACTTCACTGATTCCCCTTTAATTTTCAAACTGAATTGCTGTCATTTTATAACATAAAGATAATGAGCAATAGACTTTAAATTTTCCTCTGACTAACGAAAGGCATAAAGTCTCCCAAAATCAATCAATCCAAAACAATGTAACTGCTACGATCCAAAAAACTACCATATATTGTCAAGATTTTTAATTTATTTTCATTTTACTTAAAATTCATTTTTCATTTCCTTTTCATTACTTGTAAAGATATACACATATTCATTACAGACTGCATTATCTAAAAAACAAATTTTCTGTCTTGAAAAAAAAATGTTTATACAGTAACTTTTATTTGAAAGAATTACCTTAAGTCTAATCATATATAATATTGACTATAATGCTGTCATCTTACACTAGTCGTCATCACTACTTGAAAAGGTTTTATAGATTTGCATGAACTCTTACTTTTTCCTTTTCATCTTCAATTTTTTTCTCTGGATGTTTTCTAATGTGAGATTGTATTGCTAGCCAATTTCTTCTCTTGGCTCGAGACATCACCTTCTCTGCATGCATTTTACAGTAGGCAAAAAATGGATCAGCTATATCCTAGAAGTATTAAATTGAAAGACAATTTTTAAAATGAAACAAAAAATTAATGATGACAATTCTATGAAAATTAATCATGCTTTTCTACAGAGTTATTCCCCTTACCATGCACTCTTCAGGGGCAGCTTCAGATAGCAGTCCTTCTCTCTGAGCACTAAAATGCAACAGAAATACAGTACTATCAAATCTCTTCTCAGCTTAAAAAGCATACACCTACAAAGGATTTTATCCATACAAATTTTACTTACTGAAAGTACATGTATGACAAATTAGTGTGCATGTTTGATAAATTAATGTGAGATATAAATAAAGCAGGTGTCCCTGTTTGTCCTGCAGCATACCATGTGACATGGAAATATGTTCTACACATCCCTGCATCACAGCTGATACATACTCCAGTTCTACTGAATCTGGCATCTTCACACAATGAACACTCCTAAAATATACATGTACATATGTTTATATCAATTACTTGCTTTAAAGTGCTGTCAGCACCAAAATTCAGCATTGTTAAGATTTATTCCATACTGTCTACTGAAGTCAACTTACTCTGGCACCCCAGCGTGAGTATGGCATCTCAAACAAAGTAACTGGACTGAGTTTATCTACATCACCAAAGGCAACACCAGGGGTGTACAGTGCACATACCAGGTGAACCCATCTGAAACAGTACAAGTAATGGTGAGCCACTGTGTGAATGGTAGGTATTGAAATAATGTGAAAAATTCCTCAGTAATGTTGACATTCACAAGTTCATACTTTCCTGCATCTGTTTCTTTGAATATACCTCCAGGATTTGGACACAATTCACAGATCTACAATTATACAGTAATGGATGTATACATGTATTTCAATTAATATACCTCCAGGATTCGGACACAATTCACAGATCTAAAAATAATACAGTAATGGATGTATACATGTATTTCAGTTAATATACAGTGTTAATATTCCACCTTTACTATGTACAAATAATAAAGATTCACTTTACATTAAGACCACGATATTATCACATTAAGATTGTTATGCATATTCTTATTATTAATTCAAACAAAAGAAATAGATTGATAACAAATTCTATATTTCATTTGACTTTACTTAGCCAAAGAATATAACAATTTAACATACATTTACAGTTGTTATTAAAGCACATTGAATCACAGAAACCAAAATGCATTATTATTGTCTACATATAATGATTTTGACTTCAAATCATTTTTATTTCCTTTTATTAAATGTGAAGATTTGGAGAAAGTGAGGATTTGATACCTTCTTGTTTTGTTGTTGGTGGTGGTTTTTTTTTTTTTTTTATTTTTTTTCCATTTCAGTTTTCAATTAATTTGTTTCATGGTATAATTGGAGTAAATTTGTGTTTATTTTGAGGGATTTCAATTTTTCATGTTTTTGTGTTAAAATTCAATATGAATATAAATGTTTAAATTTGGGGAGAATGAAAAAATAAGGCTGTTTCATGATAAATATGCATGTACAAGTTTTAGCAGTTATTAAGCCTGTACAAACTGTTTTACAGATTTCTTTTAACATATTTTTTGAGTATCCTATGTCCTTGGTGATTTAACTTTTGACTTGATGATTTAAGTTTTGACTTGGTGATTTAAGTTTTGAGTATCCTATGTCCTTGGTGATTTAACTTTTGACTTGATGATTTAAGTTTTGACTTGGTGATTTAAGTTTTGAGTATCCTATGTCCTTGGTGATTTAACTTTTGACTTGATGATTTAAGTTTTGACTTGGTGATTTAAGTTTTGAGTATCCTATGTCCTTGGTGATTTAACTTTTGACTTGATGATTTAAGTTTTGACTTGGTGATTTAAGTTTTGAGTATCCTATGTCCTTGGTGATTTAACTTTTGACTTGATGATTTAAGTTTTGACTTGGTGATTTAAGTTTTGAGTATCCTATGTCCTTGGTGATTTAACTTTTGACTTGATGATTTAAGTTCTGACTTGGTGATTTAAGTTTTGAGTATCCTATGTCCTTGGTGATTTAACTTTTGACTTGATGATTTAAGTTTTGACTTGGTGATTTAAGTTTTAACTTGCTGTTTAAAGTTTTGACTTGTTGATTTAAAGATTTCTTTTATTTTACTGACTGGCTTAAAGGACTTTATGTACTCACTGGTTTAAGTCCTGCTTTACAAGCATCACAAAACCAGGGTTCAGTGCTGGCTGACGACTCGGTGCTACATGATGAATGATTCTCACTGATTCCGTAACAACCTGCTCACCAACAAAACAACTTATGTTTGTTAAATGTATTTCAATTTCACTACAGTGACAATTACAATCTGATCAGTTTACATACAGGTATATTCTATGTAAAATGAATTTACAAATTATGAATAAATTATCTTACCTTCATGCACGGATGCTCCACAATTATCACACTCAACAATCTCATCATCCTCCTCACTGACAACAGAAGAATTAAAATGTCTTTTATCCACAATTTATTGATACACAAATAGAAGTTTCATGATATTCTTCTTTTAACCAGAGTCTATGACAAGGCAGTAGCTCTACTAGTTTTGTTAATGGTTGTACCTGGACTTGTAACAATTTTTTTAGTTTTAGAGAATTATGTGCAGGTACATGTATCTTATGTTTTCTAAACTTGTACCCAGTTTCACTAAAATCAAACCAAAACTAGGATGAGTAGAATTTTGAAAGAATTTCACAAATTTTATATATTGTGGTAACACAGTTCATCTAAAAACCTGAACATACTGAATAGCGTTCCCAAAAATAGTATATCTGATGAGTAGCAAATTAATTTAAAAAACTGAAGGATGAGTGATGTTTTGAAAGATTTATCCTTTTTTATAACCATGGCAACATCATAATTGATATCAAAAACCATAGAGAACATGTACCTTGAAGATTGAAGTATTGTAAGCTACTTGTGTGCCCAAGATTTACTGAAATCGGATGGAAACTGTAGGAGGTATAGCTTTGAAATAGTTATTTATAGACAGGAGACGATCAGACAAATGTACAGACAGACACCTTACCAATGCATATATATAAGTTATTTGGGTCTTTGACCTGCAGAACTAATGAACTAAATATAATTATTACCAGTAATTAGTATAAGAGAAGGCAGATTACCTGATGTCTCCTAAACACACACAGCAGATGGTGACCTTGATTGGCTTGTGTTTGAATGGAATGTAGGGGACTACTCCATCACTCTGTGACAAATTGAACATTCATCTCATTTCAAATTTTACTTTGAATAACACTTTTACTGCTACTTATAATCCCACCACAGTTACTAGCAACATTTACTTAACTTTTGACATCATCAAGAATCCATAAATAATACCATCAAATTATATGTATTTAAAAAAAAATTATGTGTTTGTGACATTATTTTGCAAACCTATGCATCCAACATTTCAACTCTTAATTCAAACCATTAATAACAACAGATTTCAAAATAAGCACCTTTTCTGTTCTTTCAGCATCATCTTTAGACAAACAGCTGCCTGATTCATCCAGTACACTGTCTGGTTCTAAACCCTCGTCTGTTTTCTTCTCTTTTTTGTCCTCTTCAGAAACCTCTTCCTCCTCCTCCTCCTCCTCCTCATCTTCTTCTTCTTCAGACTGTTGATTGTCATCCTCTTCCTCATCTGAGTCATCAAATCCTTTGAAAAATGAATATCAAACATATATTTCATATGATTATGTCAGACACCATTATGATGTATATGTTTACTACTTTGTAAACAAATTGAAATCACACAGATAAGTTTAGGAATTTCATCAGACATCCCTGTTTATAGAATTCAAGTGTTAGATATGGACATTACATTACTCATACTGGTATATGTAGTGTTTTACCCATATTTTGAAAGAAGGCTTTTTCATCCATTTTGGGAAGAATTTTACATCAAAATCTTTAAAATAATTGGGAAAATAAATTAATTTTTGCAAAAATAACCATATTTCCTTGGGGAAACTGCCTCTATTCAGTTGTAATTTTGGGTCATGAAAAACACTGATAAGTATGATAAAAAAATGTTTACCTGTTGAGAAAATACTATGAATATGGCTGTTTCATTACTTATATGTTGATGTCTATAATTTCCTCTGATCTACAGTAAAACTTAGTTATAAGGAAGTCATCGGTTTCCTTCTGACCATGACTCTTTTCATCAATATCAGGAACAATAGTGCAAAGTCTTCTACAGATGGGATTTAAAAGTTCCCTTATAACTGAAATTTCCTTATGTACACAAGTTCCTCATAATCAAGCTTTACTGTAAGTTCCTCATAATCAAGCTTTACTGTAAGTTCCCCATAATCAAGCCTTACTGTAAGTTCCCCATAATCAAGCTTTACTGTCAGTTCCCCATAATCAAGCTTTACTGTAAGTTCCTCATAACCAAACTTTAATGTAAGTTCCCCATAATCAAGCTTTACTGTAAGTTCCTCATAACAAAACTTTACTGTAAGTTCCCCATAATCAAGCTTTACTGTAAGTTCCCCATAATCAAGCTTTACTGAAAGTTCCCCATAATTAAGCTTTACTGTAAGTTTCCCCCTAATCAAGCTTTACTGTAAGTTCCCCATAATCAAGCTTTACTGTAAGTTCCCCATAATCAAGCTTTACTGTGAGTTCTCCATAATCAAGCTTTACTGTAAGTTCCCCCATAATCAAGCTTTACTGTAAGTTCCCCATAATCAAGCTTTACTGTTTACTTAATTGATGGATGAGGACTGATACCTTTGTGATGTTTGTCTAATTCAAAATCACTATCATCACTGTCATCTGCCCCGCCAAAATCCACCTGAATTAAGTGCTTCTGCACTGGTTTTACCCTCCTTTTTCTGGGGTCTCTTTGTACTGCAAAAAATACAGTAAAACATATAAATTTTATGAGAGATATGCAACACTAACAATATAATTATTTTTACAATACGAAAGTTTACAATATGCCACATGCACTGCTAACAGAACCGTATCATTAACATTAGATAAAAAGCAACCGACAGTAAGAATATCAAAAGCATGGGAAGCATGGTGGATGTAATATTTATCACATTTCCGCTTGCATAGCAAGCTCTATTTTAAAACTACATTTGTAGATGTATGACAGAGGAAATTCTAGTTGAATCTCACATTGTTCAAGGAAATTTTGATGAGTTCAAGTGAAAAAATTCTAAAACTCTCAATCCTCTTGGTGGCTAAAGCAAAGACTAAACAAAAATTACATGTATGAAAAAACAAATCTTATAGAATGTATCTGCCTTGAAACTGACAAAGTGCATCCTCATTAAACATATTGACTTGTATATGATGTAATTTTTTCATTAGTGCATTAATTACAAGTGGCCCATGGCCTTGATGTTCAAATTTAATCCTTGCAACATTAGTTTTTGGCCTTATTGTTTCATAGTAATGGATCTGCTCCAAAAACTTAAACCTGGTCACTGATCCAGAAAATGTAGGTCAGATCCAGCATCTAAACCAAGTCCAGTAGTAATGCATCCTTAGATGTAAATGTATCATCCATGCAAGTTTGGTCAACATAGGGCTTATGGTTACTTTAGAATGAACCTGCTCCCAATAACTTTAACCTGGTCACTCATCCAAAAAATGTAGATCAAATCCAGCATCCAAAGCTAGTCCAGTAGTGACATCCTTAGATGCATTAGCCATGCAAGTTTGGTCATAGGGCTTATAGTTACTTGGAAATGAGACCTGCTCCAAGAACTTTAACCTGTTCTAAAAACTTTAACCTGGTCATTCTTTAGCTGAAATTGCAGCATCTGAAACCTTGACTGATAAATATAGGGCATAGAAGTACTTGAAAAGAAATCTGCTCAAAAACATTAACCTGGGACACCAACACTGACGCTGAGGGTATTATATAAGCTTCCCGCAACTTTGTAAAAATGTCTCTATACAATGACATACATGTATTTATGCCCTAAAATACAGCCAAAATGCAGGGTTTGGCATTTTTGTTTTCAAAAATTTATGAGAGAAGTCCCCCATACCTCCAACTAGCAGGAGGATAACCCCAGCTCTCCAGCACCCACCCCTCTCTTCATTCTGTGACTTAGCCAATACCCAAAACCTGTCAGTCAGCTAATTCAATTACAGGGCTAGTAGGAATTCAACCTTGCTAACCCTGTGGGCTATTGGTGTCTATCCCTGTTTTAGACTCTGTTTTGGAAATGCAACTACTATAAGATGAATGACCATGAAGATGTGACATAACAGTTGTCCATCTCTGATAAACCAACAATTGAACTTTGTATTTGAGTCCTTAAATAAATTATGTTGTTAACATTACACATGCATGACCCCCCCCCCCCCCCCAAAAAAAAAAAAATCACAAACTCCTAATGATTGAAAACAATCAATCATAGAGACATGGGATCTGCCTTCTTTGTCCTTGAGATTTAGGTCAAAGTCAATGGTCAAAGTCAATCAAAGTACAAGTTCTAGCTGCTACAATCCTGAATGCAGTCCGGGTCTGTACAGGTAAACATTTTAACAATTGAACATTCTATCTAGGTCAAATTCTGCTCTAATCCATGCTTTCTAAGCTCACTGGTTATTGTTTACATTTTCTCCATAAAACTACTCACTCCTGTGTTAAATCTTTGATTAACAGGTCCAGTATAATCTCCATCTTTGCTACATTTTCTGATCTGCTACTCTCCTCGTTTTCTGATCTGCTACTCTCCTCACAAACCCTTGGCCTATGGTGCTGTCAAAAGCCGGGAATGTGATCTCAAATCTTACAACATACATACAGATTGCGTCATTGAAGGGAATAAAAAGCGAATTTAAGCATTAAAGTTTTTAGAAAATAATTAACAAGAAGGTATTGAGCAATGTTTATTTGTTAGTTAGGGTGCAAATCTACATCTGTAATATAGAACTCTGCTCATATTATTCGCACATCAACTTAAGATAGGATGACACCATAGCTCTTTATGGAATGGCATGTTATCTTACGGATCGTTGTTTACTTGTGTTTTTCATTCCCAAGACTAAAGGGTCAAGATATATCTTGAACTCAGGTATCGTCATTTACAAAAAGCAATTGCTGATTTGTTGAACTATATCAATCAACTCCAATCACAACTCGAGAAAAAAATCCTGACTTTTGACAGCACCATAGGCCAAGGGATTATGAGAAGAGTAGCGAATCAGAACCCTTGGCTAGCGAAGATGTATTATCATCTCTTGAGTTAGTTATATATCTTGAATTAGCTATATACTTGATTAAGCTTTTCAAAATAGCTTGATTCAGCTATTTTATCAAACTTTTTTTCTATTTGCGTTTTCAGCATGACACTTAGTTTACAATTTTTGAACTCTTCTGAAAACAATGCATGAAAAAAATCACTCTTCAAATTGCATCTCCTTGAGAAACCTTGTACTCAAATTTCTAAAAGTTTTGGGACTACATCCTAAAGATCTATGACCACACAGTTCTTGAATGAATTCTTGTATTGTGTAATATTGTATTGTATAATAATAATTGAATGAAATTATAAAGGAGGTCAATTGTGGCCAATAAGATCAATGATAATAATTAAGCATAATGTGAAGTAATCATACTTGGCCATGCCTCACCCCACACAAGGTGGTGATGCTTTGGAAATACATCTTTTGCTTTAAAAAGTTCAAAAGCAGCAATGTTTAAACAATATTTGATTTGGATTGCTTTTTTAATATTGCTACAGTCACTTAGGGTATTTCATGGCCGTAGGAACCGGGGGGGGGGGGGCTGTTGTCCCCCCCAATAATTTTGCCGATATATAGAATACTACAGAAAACATAGCTACTATATGCTTGTGCCCCCTCAATAATAGCTTTTTCTTTTCTTTTTTTTTTTTGCTTGTCAAGGAATTTTGGTAGTATATGTGCCCCCCCCCCCAAACTGAAAATGTATGGTTGTGCCCCCTCACAGTGAAATTGCTTCCTACGGGCCTGTATTTCGAATCACCATTTACATTTTGACTGCAAACGATTTTATTAACAAGTTATTAAATGGTTGTTTGGTATTAAAGGAAAGCCAATTCTATGAAAAATCAGACCTACATTACAGGGCGAGTCTTTCTTCAATACAGCGACCTTGATGGGGGCTATATTTATATCACCTTTTTAGTGTATTGCGGGTCACTTCTGGGTATTTCGAATCACCAGGTAAATGGGTTAAAAACGGACAGATAACATTATCATTACTGAATTAGTTGGTTTTGTTTACCAAAAGGCTCCAAAAATAAAAAGAAATTTTCTTGTTGCTTGTTCTTGTTTATTTTAAAGTTATTAAAGCCCCCCTCTGTAGTCGCACTATAAAACAGCGTTCTCAGAGGCAGATTATGCAGAAAAGCAAATACCAACAAAATAATGGTTCCAGAAATTACTTGACTGTAAATCGTTGTCCTGTAAAAATAATTATGTCATTTTTTTACCAATGTGAATTTATTTTTCAATGCAAAACAATTACTTTGTAACACCTAATCATAATTCTACGAGTAGGCTACCAAGAAAAAATTATAATAATGATGATGATAATAAAAATATATATGAAAAGAATTAAACCAACTCATATTTACATATCATGATTATCAAGAATGATACATATCACTGCATACATTTGTAACTTGCACATACGCATACTTGTACATATATGTGTATATATGATATGCATGTTCGTATTTAATAAAAGGATCAACACTGATCAAGTGTATACCCGTGCTGGTTTTATTATCTCTTGCTTTGTCAAATCATTACTTTCATACCCCTTGCATTTAAGAAAAGCAATCTTATAAAAATATCTGACATATAACAAGTGTGTAGTGTGTGCAATTTATTCGGCTGCGGTCATGTACACACGTGGTTTGAAATACCCCAAACTATAGGGGGCTACAAATGCTACCATAACTAATGCATATCTAAGGTTTTATCAGAAACAATTAATGCTCGTGAAAGCTTATAAAATTCCCATTCTATCAATACCTAATATGCCATGTTTCATCCACAAACAACGCCACAACATCAATGAGAAATACCATGCAACGTTTCTACACAGACTTTTTCTTCGAAAAAGATAGGAAGTGAATGAATTAAATAATTAATTTTATAATTAACGCATTATGTTTACCTCGTTATTTTTTGTATGGAACAAGTATAAACCATGCTGTAAATGACTGTTAGGTTGTCACATGTGCATGTGTTGTGCAAGGTACAGCAATAAGGTAAATTACTGAGAGTCGCGAAATGCAGGGTGATTTGGAATACCCTAAATAACTAATTATATATATGAGTAGTTACAACACTTGCAACTTTCTGTCTATTTCTTAAAAAGTATTTGTGAAGGAACTTTGTGAAAAACTGTATTAAAATAGATTTATCAAGCTTTTCTGAATACCTTTACAAAGCTCTTTTGCTAACTCAAGCTCTACAGCTAAATCAAGAGATTGTGCTGGACTTGATCAAGAGCGAGTTTCTATCATTTACGTGGATAAAGAGGAATGTGAATCATTAAAATATATTTATAAGTCTTGTATCAATCAAAATATTTCAATTCAAAATAAAATTTTGCATGTATCTATCTTACACATCGTCTTGTACAAAAATTCAACACTTGGGTCAATTTCAAGATCCACATTGTCGGCCATTTTGCTTGATTAAAACGCTTAACTGACCAAGATCTCTGTGCGGTGTTTCTTAAATTCGTTCCCTTGATAATTTAAAGTAATTAACAGATTAAGTGTGCGAAGGGCAATAACTCTTACCCTTATACATGATATCATCATACTTATCATACTTTTTGCTTTCACCGATATCCACAATTTATACATATTTTTCAAGTTACAATTATTTGGAACATTCAGTTAAATTATGTCATTTTTCTTTTCACATGACTCTGTTTATTTTTTTTTATTTTAATTTATTGACAAAAAACCACATGTGGCGCAAGTCACACATACAGTAAACAAATATATATAGTCACACTTTATTAACGCTTGAAAAAAAAAGACTTTCAGAATGCCCAGTAACCACCTGAAATGGTACAATTTTTTTTTAAAAATCTTGCTTCTGGGAGGGGATCTCCCAGCCCCCCCCCCCCTTTCCACGGGCCCGTAGGAAGCAATTTCACTTTGAGGGGGCACAACCATACATTTTCAGCTGGGGGGGGGGGGAGCACATATACTACCAAAATTCCTTGACAAGCAAAAAAAAAAAAGGTCATTAGAAGTTATTAATGAGGGGACACAAGCATATGGTAGCTATGTTTTCTGTAGTATTCTATATATCGGCAAAATTATTGGGGGGCACCCCCCCCCCCCCGGTTCCTACGGCCATGCTCCAGAAACATGGCGACGGCGGTCCCGTGAAGGGCAGATAAATTACTTTCAATATTTTCAAGGACAAGTTATTTATTTATTCATCCTCAAGAAACATCATTAGACTTTAATAATCCATCAAATGTTACCCATCACATATCCTACCTCCGTCCAGCACTCCCTGATCACTGTTTTAAAGCGAGTTTTGTTCATGTGAAGATTTCTTATTTCAGTTAAAATAAGACACTGCTGACCATTGGTATCCTTATCTTATAATTTATTTACATTTATACACCAACATGGTAAAACTTGTTTATTTTTTACTCGGTTATTTATTTATATTTTCTCAATTTTATATGATACATACATTATTGATTTGCGATCTACATTAGTTATGAGGAGGAATGTTCTCCAGACAGTTGCACTGCTGAGACATGCATATATCCTAGAGCTCTGTACCTTGATATCTTTTGTAGTTTAGAAACTCAATTGTAATGCCATATATATATATATATATATATATATATATATATATATATATATATATATATATATATATATATATATATATATATATATATATATATATATATATATATATATAGTTACTCATCATGCTCATCACCTCTGTTTCGCCTAGACTCATTGAATATCTAGCCCCCCCCCCCCCCCCATTGCTATATGTTTATGTGTTTACTTGTCCTCTTGAGTGTTTACAAATCTTGCTTACTTGTATTTATGTTATGCCCTAAGTGGGACCATGATTGGCAAATAAAATCTATCTTTCTATTTAAAAAAAATATTTAACTGATTTAGATGACGTTGATTTAATACTGAACTTTAGTTCTGAAAAAAAGCTATTGTCCGTTGACTTTTTTTTTTTATTTACATGGAATCATTTTTTCTTACGCTAAAATGTCCACTAAAGTCCCCACTAAAACGTCCACTTACACCTTTAGAAATTCCGCCAAAATGTCCTGCGCCTGTACAGAAAAACGTCTTTTAAATGTGAGTGCATGACGTTTTTAGCGGAATGAACTACACCATAGGCACTTCCACGTGGAAGTAGACAGGAGGGGTGACCCCGAAACAAGTGCCTGTGGCCAGTTACAAGTTCGCTGGAAAAACCTTGCCTATTAACAATATTCGTGAGTAAATTAATTTTAAAATCCAGATACTCTCTAAATTAAATTAGACTTAAACCAAGGCAAGATATATTAAAAAAGAAAAATCTCACCAGGTAAAGGCATTATTTAATGAAGAATTTATTTTGACTTTTTAAAAATCATTTAAAAAAAAAATAAATAATTTATGTTTTTATTTATCTTAAAATAATACAGGTCTACATAAGAAACTTAATACCACAATATAACTATAGGAATTACTCTTCAATGTGTATTGTCTTTACATATGTTATATATATTATATATATATATATATATATATATATATATATATATATATATATATATATATATATATATATATATATATATATATATATTGATAGCCGTTTGGGCCCTCTGACACTTAGTAATAATGCTACTCTATTATTTAAGGGGTTCGAATCACAGGTACTTGTTTCGGTAATAAATTTTTAACCCATATTATAATAATAACACAAGGTATCTAACTCCGAATTACACGGAGTACCCCCCTCCCCCAGAATCCACTCGACGAGCAGAGTTTTGACGCTGTTTACGGAGACCGTAAAGAAAATAAAGACAAGCATGCCATATATGGTTGTGTAGATAAATTATCGTAGAAAACATAGGTATAAACAGTTTGTCAGTGTATTTCCTCAGAAAGTGTAAATGAGTGCGATTCTGGGGGAGGGGGGTTCTCCGTATAATTCAGAGTTAGATACCTTGTGTTATTATTATACTATGGGTTAAAAATTTATTACCGAAACAAGTGCATGTGGTTCGAATCCACTGCCTCCCTTAATATCAAGTGATACTTGTCACATATAGAGATGTATCTCATCATGTCATCTATGTATTTCCTTTTTTTTTTCTCCCCCACCCACCTCACACCACACCACGCCTCCAACCGTTCCCCAGTCACTTTCTAATTATAGGTGCAAAACACATAATATACAAAACAACTGGACACCTAATTAAAGCGCTTCAATGAGAATGATTTACCAATGATGTGCTAATAACTCTAAAATATACAATAATTACCATAAAACAAAACGTAATAATATAAGAAAACGTTTTGAAAATTAAAGAGTATTGATAGCAGTGATTATTTTTTAGTGAAACAAAATCCCACAAGACACACCATATGACCTTTTTAATCATATTTTTTTGTACATCCGACTGTACCACACATAGCATGTTATAAAAAAAATAAAAACAAAAAATACAAATTCTACGATTAAAAAAGTAATTATAAAAATTACATATTGTATTTAGTTTTTTTTATATCACGATGAAGCATGAAAAAATTAAATTAAGTGGAAAAAATTAAACTGAATAATCTCCTTCAACTGTTCCATTTTGCGGTGATAAGCCCCACATGAACAGAACGTCCTTCAAATAACGACACGAAAAACTTAGGACGCAACAATGCATATAGATTTTAACAAACTTACCCCAGAAAACTGGATGTATGGTATGCGATGGAGGGAAGTTTCCCACCACAAAGGGGTAAGCACTACGAATTGATATTTTTAAGATGTTACAAAAATGGCCAGTGTAACAATATTAGCGCTTCAGTATACTTTATGCCTCTGATTAAAATCTATACCAGGTCTAATACAATCAGTATCAATCACTACAGTTAGCTATGTAGCTTGAATTACCTAAGTAGCTATAGTTAGCTGCTTGAGTAAGTTTATGTAGCTATTTTAACAGGTCCAGAACAATCAGACTGAATCAGTACATTTAGCTACATACATCAGGTCTGGTACAATCACTAGATTTAGCTACGTAGCTTGATTTACCTACATAGCTTTATTTACCTACCTGAAGTAGCTTCATTTAGCTACTAAATCAAACTTATTTCTTAAATTAGCATTTTTCCCAGAAAGTGCAGAAAATTGCACTTTGATGCAGTGATAATTTTCAACTTTGAACTCATCTGAAAACAAGTCATGAAAAATCACTCTTGGAGATGGGTCTTTTTCTGCGCAATTGCAATCAAAGTTCTAAAAGTTTTTAGGCTATATACAACAGTTAATTTGTGATCTAACAGTTACTTGTTGAATGAAATAACAAAGAAAACCAGTTTTGGTTAACATGAGCACAATGTGAAGTAATCATACTTTGTACCATAGGACTGGCGGTAAATTTAGATTTTGCTTTGATGTTGCTGTGGTGTATTTGCCAGAAGAATCACAGTTCTTTTAAGTCACGCCCACCTTTTGGCATCAAGCCATACTGTGACAAGACCTTGACTGATGAATGAATGATGTCAATTTCCAGACCTGGCTGATCGATGAATGAATTAAGTCAACATTTTTAATTTCAAAAATACTAACATTAGCTTGTCGATGTTAGCTTCATAAATGTTTCTGTATGTTTTCTCCGCATATCCTTAATCAGTAAATGATACGTCCCATCTCGAGTTCTCGTCAATCTCTTTCCCGTCTCCAAATACAAATAGCAATTTCACATCAGAAGTCCCCGCGTTTTTTTTTTTACTTCCAATACCATTTCAAACTTTCATTAAAATGTCACAAATCATTTCATTTTTTTCTGTACGCTGATTGCCATATAGAAAAAGTTCCATGGCGATGTTTCCCATACCCCCCCCCCCTTTAAAAAAAACGATCTAGAAAGATAAATTTTCTTTCAGACTTCACGACTTGAATATAAAAGCCTACAATCGCTACCCCTGTACCTGTTCCTGACAAAGATCATGTTTATTGCGTCTTCAACATTCCAAAGGTACAATATCTTCACAGGTACCAATTCCGAATCTTTTATCAACAAATAAGGTAGCAGTGACGCAGCTAAATATGATCCTTGCAGATGGAGACAGCTTATATATACGGACCGTGGCTTGACACCTCGTAGTAGGCGGTGCTAATTATCAACTTGCTTTCCTCTCATTGGTCCTCTGGTACAAGTAACTTACACAATAGATATTAATTGGTTAGCGGTAAATACACTCACAGTTTTTATTCACTCGGGGCTCCGCCCCTCGTGAATGAAAAACTGTGAGTGTATTTACCGCTAACCAATTAATATCTATAGTGTAACTATAACTATCCACGCCTCATCGCACACAAGGTGGTGCACAGTTACTCAAACAATGGAAATACATATTTTCCTTAAAAGTGCTCAAACGCAGCAATGTTAAAACTATCTCTGCTTTAGATTGCTTTTTAAATAATACCTAGAATAAATATTAGTAGACATTTGCTTGCGACTTTTTGT